AGGTATGCTGAAACTTGATCATGTGGAGGTTTTAGCATCAACAACAGCGATCAAGATAGCTACTGATTCAGACTATAAGAAAATAGTGCTTGAAGGTNACTGTGGTGTTGTCAGAATTTGCACCTATTTGTATCTATGTAGCGATCAGTGCGCTGGTTTCTTTGATCCCACTTGGTGTTCCTTTTTCATTTACTCCCAATAGTTCGATCCATCCATAAAAATTGTTAGCCTACGAACAGAGGCGGATTCACAGTGAGGGCAGTTGCCCCCACTAGAATTTTAAAAATTTTTGGGGACCAAGTGTAATTTTAAAAAATTTAGAATTTATTAGATATTTGTCCCCACTAAATTTTTTTTAAAAGATTTAAGAGTAGTTATGTTATTTTGACAAATATATGAGTCTCACTTGTAAATATCAATGAAAGATGATATCAAAAATTTAAATATTTAAAGATTAACTAATATGTTACAAAATAAGTTAGCCCTCTCATTTGTTTTATGTTTATAAATCGAACTAAATTTAGGGCTTGTAATCCTCTTCTTTGTTTTATGTTTATATGTTAGAATTGAAAATTAGGGTTTGTAGCCCTCTTTTGTGGTTTATTTTTTAAATGTTGAATTGAAATTAGCGCTTGTAGCTCTCTGTTGTATTTTATTTGTTACATGTTGAATTGAAAATATAAAATTGGGGCTTGTAATCATCTCTTATGTTTTATTTTTTATGTATTGAATTGAAACTAGGATTTGTAGTCTTGTATTTATTTTTCTATGTTGAAATAAAATTGGGGCTTGTAGTCCTCTTCTATGATTTATTTTTTTATATATTTAATTGATATTTGGGTTTGTAGTCCTCTCTAGTATTTTATTTTTATATGTTGAATTGGAATTAGGACTTGTAGTCCTCCATTATAATTAGACTAAATTATTTTGATTTGGTAGTTTGAACAGTTTTATTGTGAAAAGTTAAGTACTTCATATACCTAGGTTTAGTTTACTAGAATAATTATAGTTTAAGTTAGTTTCGATTGTTTGTTAAAATTTAATGATGAATATTAAGTTTGTGATTGAACAAATTAATTTTTGAATTAGTTATGAAATTTTTTTTTAAAATTTAATATATGATTGAGCCCAATTTTGCAGTTCAAAATTTTTTGATTAGGTCTTATAGATAAATTTAAAATGAGTTTTTTTTGTTGGTTCATTTNTTTTTTTTTTTTAAATTTAATATATGATTGAGCCCAATTTTGCAATTTAAATTTTTTTGATTAGGTCTTATAGATAAATTTAAAATGAGTTTTTTTTGTTGGTTCATTTTGTATATCGTTCATGTATNGTTTATTTTTTAAATGTTGAATTGAAATTAACGTTTGTAACTCTTTGTTGTATTTTATTTGTTACATGTTGAATTGAAAATATAAAATTGGGGCTTGTAATCATCTCTTATGTTTTATTTTTTATGTATTGAATTGAAACTAGAATTTGTAGTCTTGTATTTATTTTTCTATGTTGAAATAAAATTGGGACTTGTAGTCCTCTTCTATGATTTATTTTTTTATATATTTAATTGATAATTGAGTTTGTAGTCCTCTCTAATATTTTATTTTTATATGTTGAATTGGAATTAAGACTTGTAGTCGTCTCATATGTTTTATTTTTATTTGTAGAATTGGAATTAGGACTTGTAGTCCTTCATTATAATTAGACTAAATTATTTTGATTTGGTAGTTTGAACAGTTTTATTGTGACAAGTTAAATACTTCATATACCTAGGTTTAGTTTACTAGAATAATTATAGTTTAAATTAGTTTCGATTGTTTGTTAAAATTTAATGATGAATATTAAGTTTGTTATTAAACAAATTAATTTTTGAATTAGTTATGAATTTTTTTTTTTTAAATTTAATATATGATTGAGCCCAATTTTGCAATTTAAATTTTTTTGATTAGGTCTTATAGATAAATTTAAAATGAGTTTTTTTTGTTGGTTCATTTTGTATATCGTTCATGTATATGAATTGCGTCTTTAATTGATGTTCTATTAAAAAAATTATACTTTTATGAATGTTTTAAATTTTAATATTAATATAGTTTAAGTTACCCCTACCGGAGAATATGTCTGGCTCCGCCCCTGCCTATGAATGTGGTTTTGATCCTTCCGGNTTATACTTTTATGAATGTTTTAAATTTTAATATTAATATAGTTTAAGTTACCCCCACCGGAGAATATGTCTGGCTCCGCCCCTGCCTATGAATGTGGTTTTGATCCTTCCGGNAGTAGTTTGAACAGTTTTATTGTGACAAGTTAAGTACTTCATATACCTAGGTTTAGTTTACTAGAATAATTATAGTTTAAATTAGTTTCGATTGTTTGTTAAAATTTAATGATGAATATTAAGTTTGTTATTAAACAAATTAATTTTTGAATTAGTTATGAAATTTTTTTTTAAAATTTAATATATGATTGAGCCCAATTTTGCAGTTCAAAATTTTTTGATTAGGTCTTATAGATAAATTTAAAATGAGTTTTTTTTGTTGGTTCATTTTGTATATCGTTCATGTATATGAATTGCGTCTTTAATTGATGTTCTATTAAAAAAATTATACTTTTATGAATGTTTTAAATTTTAATATTAATATAGTTTAAGTTACCCCTACCGGAGAATATGTCTGGCTCCGCCCCTGCCTATGAATGTGGTTTTGATCCTTCCGGTGATGCCAGAAGTCGTTTTGATATACAATTTAATATTGTTTCAATTTTATTTATTATTCCTGATCCGGAAGTCACCTTTTATTTTCCTTGGGCAGTACCTCCCAACAAGATTGATCCACTTGGATTTTTGGATGATAAGGCATGTATATCCATGTTTCATCCAGCCTTTCTCTACCATCAACCACCGGTATGATTATTTTGCTTGCCCGACTTTGTTCTCCCACCACAAGAGCTTGTTCGTCAAGTCCGAATTCAAACTTTATTGAAAATGACGACTCTCTTCAATGCTAGCAACTGCCTTTTTTGTCAATATCAAAAAACTATCATTTGACCACAAATTTCCAATTGTTCTCATGCTGAATCACTAGCCTTGTTTTTCCCTAGTTGGCCTTACCCCCAAGAACCGGGAGGAACACTACCAAAACGATTTCTTTACCAAAGGGGTGTACTCACTTATCGATGAAGATTAGGGCATTACAGTATAATATTTCACAAGTACATGAAATTCGAATATGGAATAATGTCCATTGCAGAAGCAGGAGACAAGAAAAGCTAAAGCACGCTACAAACGATTTTGAGGCAACCTTGGTAGATTTTGAGGCAACTATGCACATAAACAGAGAGAGAACGTGTGGGGGAAGCAGCTGCTGACTGATTTCAGCCCTTAATAGGATGACATTGGACTCGTAGAATAAGCATACACCTGCCCATCCCTTTGACCAACCAAAAATTCATAGAATCTCATTCCAAGCCAAAACAATATTCAATCACCACCATTTGACCTAATTAGGTACGATGCAAAACTATCAATTCAATCACCAAATTTTACCCAATTCAATTAAGAAATTGAAAACTGAAAAAAAATCTAATCCAATAATTGAACCAATCATCCCACCTAACTAATTGATCCACCAAGGACATCGGTATTTACTGCACAAGAGTCGAAACCATAGACCTCAATTGAATTGAATAATCTTGATCAAAAAAAAAAAAAAAGTTTGAATAATCAATCAATGGTAAGGTTTTTGCTTCATTTTAATTGGAATTGTGCTAATTTTTGTTGCCTGGTTTGATCTCCTAAGAACATCCAATTAATTTGTAAATATTTATTTTTTCAGTAATGTTATTAGGACATAATTTAAGGATATAATTTGAGGACTTAATGATTGTGGCCATTAGATTGTCGGTGGGTCCCAATATTAAATTATCACTAGACTCCAACACTATCAATCTAATAATCATAATGCATTAAGTTCCCAAATTTTATTCCAATAACATTAGTGTTATTTTTATACTACAGTGTCCATGACAATCGTCGTTTGGGAAGAGAGAGGAGTTCCTTCCTAGTGTTGCTGTCCATGATGGTCTCAGCCATGGTGAGAGGACAACATCCCTGGTAATGCTTCCACTTCCATCATCAATTGAGTCACTGGAATTCGGGTGGGTTAAGCTTCGAGAGGTAGTGGCTTGAGGGGAAACTAGGGTGGCGGACATCGNTCCCTGGTAATGCTTCCACTTCCATCATCAATTGAGTCACTGGAATTCAGGTGGGTTAAGCTTCGAGAGGTAGTGGCTTGAGGGGAAACTAGGGTGGCGGACATCGACTTTGGTGGAATGGTGTAAATTCGTGAAGGTTAAACAAGTAAGGGTAAATTCGTAATGGGATGGGGTAAATTCGTGAAGCCTAAACATGTAAAATGTTAGAGTAAAAATAGACTTAAAAATTAGATTTGATAATCTCAACCATTAATTTCATTGTAGGTCCCAGTATTTATTGGGACCTACTACTTATTCAATGATTAAGATTATCAAGTCTAATTTTTAAGTATAATTTTTAAATCTAACAAGCATTACTCAAAATATTATGACTCTAAGGGTAAATTCGTAAAAAGTTATACTTTTTTTTGTTAGTCTCTTACCGACGGCGACGGGTATCAATGATATTTTGGATTATAGGGGATATTCTTGTAATTATGCGTATGTACAAGGGGGTGTTAGTGAAAAAAAAGTTACAAACTACATTCATAACCTGCGGGGGGGAAAAATACACTTCTGCTCTTCAGTTCAGTGTCGTTTCGCCAGAGAGCTTTAGCTACTCTCTCTCTCTCTCTCTCTGACCCCACGCAGTCAGATATTGATGGTCAAATCCCAGGAAGCAAACAACAGCAACTTGCGGCTTTGCGGCAGTCAGATCAAGACCTAAAACTTCTCCTCACCATCTGAACTTAACACTCACTCTCTCTTTCTCTCTTTATTTTCTCTCTCTAACCCATCTCCCTCCCTTTACATATATGCTGATGATCGCAGCAGCTTCATCAATCTCCTTCGGTACAACTATAAACACTCCCTTTGGAATTTTATTTATATGAATTAATTCTCAATTTATTATCTTTTTCCAGTCCATAATTTCAGTAAGTGTGAACTTATATGAATCGTTATGGAACATTAAACACGACTCAACTTAGAATTTCTGGAGACACCCAGTTTCTATGTTTATGGAGATACCCACTTTGATTCTCTTTTAATATTGTGTTTACATGAAGAATTGTCTGTTCTTTGAATATATAATTGTCTGTACGGATGTTTTAATTGATTTAGTCACTTACCTAAGTAATCCCCACTTGTACAGTAGTCAACTTTTGTAATTTCATGCAATTCAATTGGTGAACAAACAGAGGAAAACAAAAGAATTCGAGTAATTTTAGTTGTTTTTGGAATTTGATTGAGGGCTTCAGTTTTCTCAGCCCTTGACTAGTGATAGACATCAATACAACTCAATGTTTTTCCAATTTTTTTTTCTCTCTCTCAGCATCCTGCTGGATAGAAAGTCTATGTATTTTGTTTTTCTCTCGTCCTTGTATGCAAGTTGCCCCTTGTTGGTTTTTCTCTGTTCACTTGTGTTCTTTGATTTTCTTCCCATTTGATTTTCTTCGTAGAATATTTGAGTTACTGTGAAATCAGTGCTCTGTTTGTGCTTTGCTGAAGATTTTTGCTCATCAGGTGTTTGCTGATCAAGCGTAAAGACACAAATGANGATTTTCTTCCCATTTGATTTTCTTCGTAGAATATTTGAGTTACTGTGAAATCAGTGCTCTGTTTGTGCTTGCTGAAGATTTTTGCTCATCAGGTGTTTGCTGATCAAGCGTAAAGACACAAATGAATAAGTATCAATGTGAAAATTTCATTCATACACCTGTATATTTCTCTAACTTCAATGACAGTCCCTCTATTATCTGGAACTTCACTGCATCTCTTTATAGTTTAATACTCTCGCTTCATCCACACGCCTACAATGGATAACCATCATTGACTGGTCAAAAAATGCTGATGCCATTCTAGATTGTTTAAAAATATCCACATTACACTTTATCATCTTCTCATCTCTCCTACAATTGCATGACCACCACATCCAAACCACTTTACCCAGCATTGGAAAGCACCCCATACCATTGCAACCCACATAACTGTCACCATGCAACACTACCACTGCAAACACTCGACACTCCTACCGTCCTACGAACCATAATCTCCACACTGCAAACCATGCCACACCAGTGTGAACCACCCAACTAGCTCCACTCATAATTGCAAACAAAACCCCGCTACCACCGCTCACAACACCCTCCCCCATCGCACACCACCATGAACTGCAATTATTAGCAACTCACAGCACCACCCATTCATGGCAGATGAATTTCTTAGCGTTGTTTATTTTCCACCACAGGAAGCAGATTTAGATACCCTCAAATTCTCATCTCGACATGCAATATTTGCTGGAAAATCAAATACTCTCAAACCATACCTTTTTTTGTTTCTGAACTCTTCTTCACCTCCACGTGCTCTTTGTTTGCTGTCGTGTCCTTTCCCACGCCGGTGTCTTCCTTGAAAAATCAAAATTTTGTGCTCGAATGCAATGAGAATCATCTCAAACTCGGCCGAAATGGTCGGAGATAGGAAAATTAACTTTTGAGTTTGCTGTCTACAGAGAAGAATTGGTGGCAGGACAGTGGTATAACATTAGGGTTTGGAGTGAAAATGGGGAATGGGTCGGTGCTAATTGGAATGAACTAGAGAGGTTGGCAAACATGGTGGTGGTGAGTTGATATGATATTGGTGGGCTGGGCAGCTCTCTCTCTCTCTCTCTCTCTCTCTCTCTCTCGGTATATATAGATACTAGGGATAACCCGTGCCTGAAGACATGGTGCAATGTAAATAGTTGTGACTGGGATGTTGGTGGCTGTTGGATGAGTTTATTTGAGACCATTGGATGGACTTATTGAAGTCTGCCTTGTTTTATATTATAGATACTACTATTATACATACAATATTAGTTTAATAGATAATTTCTTAAAATTCATGGGGAAATATGTTTAATAGTCATTAAATAGATACTACTATTATAGATACAATATTAGTTTAATAGATAATTTCTTAAAATTTCATGGGGAAATATGTTTAATAGTCATTAAATAGATACTACTATTATAGATACAATATTGGTTTAATAGATAATTTCTTAAAATTTCATGGGGAAATATGTTTAATAGTCATTTATTTGACCTCTATCATATGACAAACACTGACAGGGCTTGTCAGTGAAGTTTTAAATAATACAAAGGATTTTTTTTGTGAAAATAAGGCAACATTAGGGATGCGTGGATGAAACTTTTCAATGTTGAATTTCAAATTCTGCATAATACAGTAGCCAAGGAAATAGAAACCTTCACTTTGATTTGGTCTAATAGAAGTGAGGTTTTTTATTTTTGAGATAATATCTTGTGCATGTCTTTTGCTTAGTTTTCTGAGAAGCCAAATGGCATTTCATTGATGTTTGTGTGGTTGTATATATAGCTCCTTATATGTTTATGTTTTTCGATTACCGGTCGCTGTTCTTATCTTATTAGCCTCATCTTTGATTCTTCTGTGTCATCTAATTTTTATACTTTCTGTTTTTTTTTCTATGATACATTTCTGTTGACGGAGTTTCAGGACCTTCGCACTGCCATTATTGTCATGCTGAAGGGGTTGGTTGCTCAACATCTTATGGAGTCACTAGCAGGTGGATCGGATCTTCTTTTGATTGTCAAAGAATTACTGATCATTCAGGCATAAGGTGATAACATGAGAATCTAACTGAAAGTGAAAACACTGCCTATTTTGTATAATTGAATAATGGTAGTTTGTGTTAATTTCTTTGTAGTTTGTGTTGCACCAACACTTCATCCAGTTGCAGTTAAATAGAATTATATTACACATAGCATTTGGATTTCATAATTATGACATAAATCTTCTGTATGCAATGAGCTATCAACTTAACATGTAATGAATATTCATGATTCTAAGTTTTCTCACCATTCTTTGGAAGGTATGACTGCGTGAGACTGTTACTTTACCAACAAAATTAGGTTTATTACGATTCTTTTCTAAGACGCCTTTTAGGGGCCACTAGTCATGTTGGTTGATATATATGAATGATTGGAGGAGTACATTGGGTACAAGCTTAACCACATGCATTATTTGCAGAAAGCAACTGACTGTCACATTTACATCCACAATCTCAAAGTTTACCTGTGGCATTTTTTGCATCATGAGATTTTTTAAATCTTTTTTTGGTCGTGCTTCCTAATAGTCAGGTGTAATGCTGAGGAATCCCCAATTTGTTGCTTTCTTTTACCCAGTGTGGCTTCTTTAAAACCTTCAGTTTTAGTGCTATTTGTAGACTAACACTCTAGAATGAAAATGAGTATGTATATCTCTATATCCAGTTTCAGATGTGGGAATCCATTTTTTGGAGCTACGCGATCCCAGTGGTTGCAATTGGGGGATGAAATGAGCCTTTCTAAAGTGTTTGTCGCTGCAGATTATTCAGATTCAGTACCTGATTCATCTAATTATTTAGGCCATAATGGGTATCATCCTCTTGAGGAATTGAAAGATCGCAAAAGAGTTCGTGACATTAACCTCACCTCTGCTGAAATAGCACGGACTGCAGTTGAGGTTTTTTTCTCCCCTAAAAATTTGTATTTTTGGAACTAGAGTATATATTTTTCTTCCCAATGGAATGGTGAAGTTCTATTTCAGAACTAAAACAAAATCCTTGAATTGTCTGAATATTCGTTTTCTTAGTGAGAGGATATAAGTTCTTTTTCTTTCTTCAAAATACATGGTCTGATCTTTGTTGTTTCAGGCAAACAACAGTGCTTGGTTGATATTTCCAAGTATGGTGCACTGTGAACCACACAGACAAATCTCATGGGCTGAGTTTCAATATGTTATTGATGAGTGGGGAGGTTTGGCTGTTTCTATCTGTTATTAGGATGATACTTGTTAGTCTATAACATGAAATGATTACATTTAACATCCTGATTGTACTACTTTTTTCCTCAGATATATTTTTTGAAATTTCTGATGATGAAAACATCTTGCAAGATCGTGGTGCAAGTAACCCTGTGGTGAGGACTTTCATTATCTTTTGTTACATTTCCCCTTTTGGATGACTGTAGCTCAGGCACTTTGTGTGCTGGAAATCATTGCGCACACCTTGCTAAAAATTAGGTGTCTAAAAGTTAATAAAAGATCTTTAAAATTTCAACGTGTTTTGCACCTTCCTGAATGTAAAAATTAATTTTACTTTGCACGTAACGACATTTTGTTTCTACATAACGTAATCATTAGGAAATTTCGAGTGCGAAGTAATATTTTTGGACTTCAATATCTCTTTTTCTCCCATTTTTCTTTTGTAGTTTTGTCATATAAAAAATGTATTTTATGATATCTGTTCGATTCTTCAATTTATGAAAGACATCTTTCATATCTACTGTCAATCACTATATATTAAAAGGGACAGGGATTAGGTCTCTTGGTCTCCAGCAATTTTAAATTCCCGCATTCCCTTGCAAAACATAACATACAAACTGTTCTATATTTTTTGGATCTTCCTTGTCACATATCTGCATTCTCTCTGTCTCTCTTTGGCTCCGTATCTCTCTCAGTGTGCACACGCTGGAACCCAATAAAAGGTACAATTACATTACACTAATTGTAAATATTAAATCCTTTAATGTAGAAACAAGAGTAAGTCTTGAGTCTTGTAATTAAACATAAATTCAATCCCCAGTCCAAAGCTGGAGAACAGTCGGACAATTTAGTTTTAGGACATCAGAATTGTTCCTTGGCAAGTTGGCATCCATGCAGTAGTTTTGTCTGATAGCATAGACTTGGAGGATATTTCAATTTTTTGTAATTTGATTTGCACAAACTATAGCAAAGCTGTGTTAATCAATTATATTCTTGCATTTCTTCAGAATGCTTTATTTGGGATGGATATCCCACTATATGAGAACAAATGGATATATGATGCTGAATATGACATTTCTGAGAGTGGTTTTAGGGATGAAATTNCCGCATTCCCTTGCAAAACATAACATACAAACTGTTCTATATTTTTTGGATCTTCCTTCTCACATATCTGCATTCTCTCTGTCTCTCTTTGGCTCCGTATCTCTCTCAGTGTGCACACGCTGGAACCCAATAAAAGGGACAATTACATTACACTTATTGTAAATATTAAATCCTTTAATGTAGAAACAAGAGTAAGTCTTGAGTCTTGTAATTAAACATAAATTCAATCCCAAGTCCAAAGCTGGAGAACAGTCGGACAATTTAGTTTTAGGACATCAGAATTGTTCCTTGGCAAGTTGGCATCCATGCAGTAGTTTTGTCTGATAGCATAGACTTGGAGGATATTTCAATTTTTTGTAATTTGATTTGCACAAACTATAGCAAAGCTGTGTTAATCAATTATATTCTTGCATTTCTTCAGAATGCTTTATTTGGGATGGATATCCCACTATATGAGAACAAATGGATATATGATGCTGAATATGACATTTCTGAGAGTGGTTTTAGGGATGAAATTTCTTTTCGTGATGATTACTTTGAGGTAAGAAATCATTGTTGTTGATTACTGTTCTGCAATTGGAGATCGCCTCTTAGGTTTTTTTCCTTTCTTGCTTACATTCTATGTCCTTTTGTTCCAAGCAGTTGGAGGGTTCTGAAATTTTCGATATCCCAGTTGACTGGGGAAGGCCAGATACTTCCAGATCGGTTCATCCAGTTTATTTTGGAAAATGTTTGGCAAAGGTGATTACTGCTTGGCCTGGTAGCTAATGTACTAGGTAACTGACTTTGTTGAAGCTGTTTCTGATCACGATGATGAGCCATAGTTAGCCTTTTTGTAAATGTTAAAATAAACTTGTAGCAGATTGATGATTGCATATTCATAAGCTCTTATTAATTTTTAGAATGCTGGGGTGATCATTAATGTTAGAGGGCCTTTACTAATACCATGGTAAGTAAGCCTTCTTTGTTTGAGAAGCTCAGCCTTATTATAGAAGCCACTCCTGCCAGAGAAGGTGATGGAGGATCTCCTTGATTTTTTTTTGTTTTTTTTGTGAAAGAAACGATCATAAAAATTCCATTAAACCGATATGTCAGAAAAGAGGAGAGGCTTTAAGAAATCTGGGGGATGCTCTCTCCATACAGATAAATAATCAATAGAGCAAGCATGCCTAGCTAGATGATGTGCGACCTTATTCCCTGCTCGTCTGACAACATCTATTTCTAGGATAGCAAATTTATTAGCCTCATTATAGATGTCCCAGTGGATTTTAGTCATCCTCTCTGTCAGCAATTGCTTTGACTACGATAGCTGAGTCCCTTTCGGTGACAACCTCCTGAAACCCATGTTGAAGCACTAGAAAGACAGCTTCTCTGGTGGCCATTGTCTCTGCTAGAAGGGCATCACCTTTGATCTAAAACTTTTTGGAGAGTCCTGCTAGAAATTGACCGCTTTTATCTCTGATAACCACACCGATGCCAATGGTCTCCTCTTGTTCGAAGGTTGCACCATCAAAGTTAACTTTGACGAAACCTGGCTTTGGAGGATTCCACTGCACCTCTCTTTGCGCAGCCTAACTACGATCTGCATTCCCAATCGTCTCCAAATATTGGTCATGGTATCTCTTAGCATTGCCGGCCATTTCCTCCTGTTCCTTCTTCGCATTTTGAAATAGCACCTCATTACAGTGCCGCCAAATCATCCAACAGTGGGTTAGGAATAAGGCAAAAATCGTCAGCTTTGAGCCTAACAGGAGCTGTTCAACCTACCTGAGTGGACCTCGCTTCCAGGAGGATCTCCTTGATTTAGATGTCTTTTTGTATTGATTGTTGCATGACTGGAACTTGGGTGCTCCTGCGAAATTGTTGGAAGGCATTGCTAAATGAGTTATTTGGGCTTATTGGACTTGTCTATTGGGTGTTTTGGAAATGAATTCCTAGGTATCCTACCGAAAGCTTGATAGAATATATTACGAGAATGTAAAGGAATGGGATGATGAATAAATAATGATTATGGGTCTTTTTAGGGGTACTTTATATTTCAGGATTTATTGGGTTTGTTTGTTAATTTAAGATTTTAATATTATGATTTTTATTTTGGAAAGTGCTAATTATGGTTTTTATTATAGCCATTAAATAGACCCTATATGTAATGGATTTCAAGTCTTGGTTATTGATATTGCTAGGAGAATAAATGTTAATTGTTTTTTTTCTCTACAAATTCTCTCTCTATTGAAGATGATAAGATTGGTAGAAGCTATATGATGTTTAGTTTTTGAGTAGCTTTTAAAGTACTTAGGGTTACCTTTAGGGGGTAATCTAAATTCTTTTCTTGTGGAAAGGAAGTGGTGAGGGGAGAAAGAATCATTTGATTAGTTGGGATGTGGTTTCTAGATCTAGGGATAAAGGTGGTCTTTCGATTGGTAATTTGAAGGTCAGAAATATTGCTTTAGTAGGCAAGTTGCTTTGGAGGTTTCCCTTCGAACAAAATTCTCCTTGGCATTTAGTTATTAAGAGCAAATATGATTTACAAGTCAATGGATGGGACACTAATAGGGTTGAGAGGGTAAGTTTTATGCCCGTGGAAATTCATATCTTTGGTTATAACGAGGTTTTCCCATTATCTTAGTTTTGTGGCGGGTAATAGAGAAAGGATCTGTTTTTGGGAAGATCCATGGGTGGGGGAGTTATCTTTGTCATTTTTGTTTCCACAACTTTATCACTTATCCGGTTTTCATGGCGTATCTATTTCTTCCATGATTAGCTCTTTCATCATCCTTATTCTTGAAACTTTGGTTATCGTAGAAATCTTGATGATAAAGATACTTTGGAGTTGATGTCTTTTCTTGCTACTATTGATGACATTTTGTTATCTCAAGAGTTATGCGACAGAAGGAGATGGGTACTTGAGTCATCCGGTGCTTTTTCCACTAAATCCTTCAATGATTCTTTAATTGTCCATTCATCAAGTCCTCCGTTTATTCCAGCTATAATGATTTGGAAAGCAAAAGTGCCTATTAAAGTGAAAGTTTTTGCATGGACTATTGCATGTGGGAAGATTAATACTAACGATATGCTTTAGAGTAGGAGACCTATTAATTTTCTTTCTCCTTAGTGGTGTGTGATGTATAAAAGTGATTATGAAAGTATTGATCATTTGTTTTTACATTGCGTTGTTGTTTTGACTTTGTGGCATAAGTTGTTTAACTTGGTGGACTTGAGTTGGGTCTTTCCTAAATCATCCATATCTTTGTTTGTTGAGGATTTGAAAGGCTTAGGATCTCTTGATAAGGATATCACTCTATGGAATTGTGCTATAATTGTAACTTTTTTGGTTATATGGAAGGAGAGAAACACACGTATTTTTGAAGACAGAGGAGACTGTTTGGATAGATTATGAGACCAGATTCATTTCTTAGCTTCTTTTTGGGCCTTAGGTGCAAATCAGTTTAGAGAGACTCCATTTTTTGCTATACTTTCAAGATGGCTAGCTTTATGTGATTTACAAGTTATTTCCTTTGTTTGTAATTTTTGTTTTTTGTTTTTCCTTTTCATTGCTTTTGTAGTTAGATTCCTTATCCACCATTCTTGATATTTATCTTATTTTTAATACAATAAGTTATTTTCCAATCAAAAAAAAAATTTGGGAATCGATGGTCAAGGTCAAAAAATTATCGTTTCAAGCCCAAAAAATTGTCGTCCAGCATAACAGAGGGAGAGAGATGGAGCGATAGAGAGACTGAGAGCACACCGAGAAATCAAAAGTGAGAAGAGTTTAGCAACGTACCTCTTTGAGTNAAGTTATTTTCCAATCAAAAAAAAAATTTGGGAATTAATGGTCAAGGTCAAAAAATTATCGTTTCAAGCCCAAAAAATTGTCGTCCAGCATAACAGAGGGAGAGAGATGGAGTGATAGAGAGACTGAGAGCACACCGAGAAATCAAAAGTGAGAAGAGTTTAGCAACGTACCTCTTTGAGTCCAGAGCCACCCTCCACTTCCACGTTCTAGTTTCAACCTCCTCCAAGTATGAGCTNACAGAGGGAGAGAGATGGAGCGATAGAGAGACTGAGAGCACACCGAGAAATCAAAAGTGAGAAGAGTTTAGCAACGTACCTCTTTGAGTCCAGAGCCACCCTCCACTTCCACGTTCTAGTTTCAACCTCCTCCAAGTATGAGCTTGTTCCTTTCTCTTATTTTTCTTCTCTCTTTCTTTCTTTTTCTTTGTTGGGTCCTCATAAAGAGTCTTGTGATAGGCCCAGTTCCTGGTCTGAAATATAGTGAAATTTTCTTTCCTATTGTTTCCTCAGACCCCGTTACTAAGAAAGNTCATAAAGAGTCTTGTGATAGGCCCAGTTCCTGGTCTGAAATATAGTGAAATTTTCTTTCCTATTGTTTCCTCAGACCCCGTTACTAAGAAAGATGTTCACCTCTTAAAATATCCTATATATGTAGGCGAAAACAGGGGAAGGGGAGTCTGTTTCTCGATTTGATCTATAGACTAGGATGGGTATTACCCTCTTTCTCTCAGATTTGCAGATCTGGGATAAGGATGGGGCTGACGAGGCTTACGGGTCTCCTCTCTCTCTCTCCTGCTCTATCTCGTAAGTCTGCATCTCAAACTCTCATCGTTTGTTCTTGCTCTTTCTCCGCATTTTGCTGAGACGTAAGAAGAGCGTTTGTTTAGTCCCTCATTTTTTTTTGGTTTTTATCTTGGTATTTTATTTTTGTTGTGTCTTTTATATTTGTTAATNAGCGTTTGTTTAGTCCCTCATTTTTTTTTGGTTTTTATCTTGGTATTTTATTTTTGTTGTGTCTTTTATATTTGTTAATTAAGTTAATGCCCCCTTCCCCCCCTTTTTTTTTACTTTTTTTATTTTATTCTTTTATATTATTATTATTTACTAAATTGGTATATTAAAAATATACCGTGTTTGTTAAATAGTTGCAGTTAATTTTATGGTATATACCTTATTTGTTAAATTTATAAAAATGTTTGCATGTAAAATATGTTTTAAAATAGTTGAAGTGATTTCCGCCTCATGTCGTGTCAAGCCTTTTTTTTTCCTCCAACTTAATGTTATTTTGTATAAATGTATGTTAACCCAATAAACATACTCAATTAATTAATTATTAAGTTTATCTTTATAAATAAATAGATTGTATTTATATTTTCATGCGTTTCCATATTTTTTCTCCATTTATTTGAAAATGGTGAGCCGAATTGAGAAGAAGATGAGAGATTTTTTTATGGGAGCGTTGTGGAGAAGAGAAGAAAGACCACTTGGTAAGGCTGGATTTGGTGACCTGATCCAAAACTAAGGGTGGTCTTGCATTAGGAAATTTGAAGGTTAGAAAATCTTCATTACTTACCAAATGGTTATGGAGATTCCCCATTGAATTCAATAGTTTATGTCATTTCGTGATTAAAAGTAAATATGAGATTGAAGATAACAGGTGAGATACCAGAAGTGATTGAGAGATGGTGTTCTTGATGTCCTTGAAAATTCATTTCTCAAGGGTTANGATGGGTATTATCCTCTTTCTCTCAGATTTGTAGATCTGGGATAGGGATGGGGCTGGTGAGGCTTGCTGGTCTCCTCTCTCTCTATCTCGTAAGTCTGCGTCTCAAACTCTCATCGTTTGTTCTGTCTCTTTCTCCACATTTTACTGAGACGTAAGAAGAGCGTCTGTTTAGTCCCTCCTTTTTTTTGTTTTTATATTGGTATTTTATTTTTGTTATGTCTTTTATATTTGTTAATTAAGTTAATGCCCTTCCCCCCCTTTTTTTACTTTTATTCTTTAATTCTTTNATTTTTGTTATGTCTTTTATATTTGTTAATTAAGTTAATGCCCTTCCCCCCCTTTTTTTACTTTTATTCTTTAATTCTTTATATAATTATTATTTACTAAACTGGTATATTAACAATATATCATGTTTGTTAAATAGTTGTAATTAATTTTATGGTATATACCTTATTTGTTAAATATATGAAAATGTTTGTGTGTAAAAAATGTTTGAAACTAGTTGAAGTGATTTCCATCTCGTGTCAAGCCTTTTTTTTTCCTTCAACTTGATGTTATTTTGTATAAATGGATGTTAACCCAGTAAACATGCTCAATTAATTAATTATTAAGTTTATATTTATAAATAAATAAATTATATTTTTGTTTTCATGTGTTTTCATATTTTTTCTCCATTCCTTTGAAAATGGTGAGACGGATTGAGAACATGATTAGAGATTTTTTTATGGGAGCATTGTGGAGAAGATAAGAAAGATCACTTGGTAAGGTTGGATTTGGTGACCCGATCCAAAACTAAAGGTGGTCTTGCATTAGTAAAATTGAAGGTTAGAAAATTTTCATTACCTACCAAATGGTTATGGAGATTCCCCATTGAATTCAATAGTTTATGTCATGTCATGATTAAAAGTAAATATGAGATTGAAGATAACGGGTGAGATACCAGAAGTGATTGAGAGATGGTGTTCTCGTTGTCCTTGAAAATTCATTTCTCAATGGTTATATTGTTTCATAAACATGTNCAGAAGTGATTGAGAGATGGTGTTCTCGTTGTCCTTGAAAATTCATTTCTCAATGGTTATATTGTTTCATAAACATGTCTAAGTATGTTGGTGAGGGTGCGATCATACCAACACTAATGTACCGGATAACATCAGAACTCCGCAGTTAAGCGTGCTTGGATGAAAGTAAAACTTGGATGGGTAACTCCCGGGAAGTCCTCGTGTTGCACCCCTTTTAAAAAACAAAAGTATGTTGGTGAGCATTTGTTTTTAGGACGATAATTGGGGTGATGTTTCTTCTTTTTCTTCCATGTGTCCTCACTTATATCATTTGCCTAAAAATCCCAATTTGTCAATTTTTACATGATCTCATTTGTTTCTTCCCCAAATTGCTGGAACTTTGATTTCTTTAGGATTTGAACGATAGAGAAGTTGTTGGGATGTCCTCCCTTTTGGGCATTCTTGATAATNCCTCACTTATATCATTTGCCTAAAAATCCCAATTCGTCTATTTTTACCATGATCTTATCTGTTTCTTCCCCGAATTGCTGGAACTTTGATTTCTTTAGGAACTTGAACAATAGAGAAGTTGTTAGGATGTCTTCCCTTTTGGGCATTCTTGATAATATTGTATTGAATCATTTATCTTTTTTGGGCTAGCTCATGATCTGAACGAGTCGCACATTTGGATCGTAGGAAATGGACTATTTCTTCTTCGGGGGAGTTCTCTTGTAAGTCTTTTTTTGAGACTTTGATTGATAAGCCTAGTTTCCCAATCTTCCCAAGCTCAATCATGATTTTGAAGTCTAAGGCTCCATTAAAGGTACAAGTTTTTGCTTGGTTACTTGCACACAAGAAACTCAATACCAATGACTTGCTCCTAAAAGGAAGATCATTTTATTGCTTACTATCTCAATGGTATATTCTTTGCAAGACAACTGAGGAAAGTATGGATCACTTATTCTTACATTGCTCCTTTGTTTTAAAATTGTGGAACACATTGTTGAGTTTAGTAAGGTATCTCTTGGGTGATTCTTAGAGATTTATTTTTGTTCTTTACACATCACTTAATAGGGCTTTGGTTCTAGCTATAAAGCTAAGATTTTATAGAATTGTGTAGTTTTGGCTTTGTTATATAATGGTTTGGTTGGAAAGAAAAATAAAGATTTTCGATGATAGAGAAAGTACTTGGGAAGACTTGTGGTACAGAGTTACACCTATGGCATCTCTTTCGGCTTCCACGATTTTGAAGGAATTCCATTATTATTGATAAAGGATTTTCGGTGATGTTTGTTGAGAGTTCAAGCTTATTTCCTGTTATGTTTTTTACATTTTTGTTTGTAACCTTTTCTTTTCTTTTCTTTTTCAATCTTTATTTTTTTCCTGGAGAGGACTCCTTAGCNCCTGTTATGTTTTTTACATTTTTGTTTGTAACCTTTTCTTTTCTTTTCTTTTCTTTTTCAATCTTTATTTTTTTCCTGGAGAGGACTCCTTAGCCTCTCATGTAACCTTATCTCCATCTTTATTTTTAATAATATTCTCAAATTCCCTATCCAAAAAAAAAAACGACAAATTCTTACTGTCTCATGCTTCTGTTTTCTTTTTTGATATTCACCCATTAATTCCATTCTTTCGTAATCTCTGCAAAAATCTTATTGCCCTACGAAAATTGGTATTAGAGCTCAATTTCTATCCATTATCGTTGCCCATTAAAGCCTTTTTTGTTTTTGCCGTCTTACTGCAATCAATATCNCATTAATTCCATTCTTTCGTAATCTCTGCAAAAATCTTATTGCCCTACGAAAATTGGTATTAGAGCTCAATTTCTATCAATTATCGTTGCCCATTAAAGCCTTTTTTGTTTTTGCCGTCTTACTGCAATCAATATCTCACTTGACAGGTCATCTTATCCTTTGACTTTATTTCTGTTGTTACATTTGTTAGAGTATTCTAACATATTAGCATTAGGGGCAATTTAGTTGTTTACTTTATCTTATGTTGCCCCATTATATGAGGGCTTCTATTGTGTATCTTAGGTTAATGTTGTTGTAACATAGATTAGTGTGTCACGATGATATTTTCTTTCTTCTCTCTTCTCTATGTCTAATCAAAGTTAACATGGTATTAGAACAATGTTATGATCCCTTCCTCCTTGTCTATGGAACACAAATTTTAACTAGGCTAGTGATATAGATCGCAAGTCTACCCCTGGTTTCTGTCTTTTTCTTGGTGATTCTCTCATTTCTTAGAAAAACAAGAACCAAACTGTTGTTGCTCGTTCTTCGGCTGAAGCTGAGGACTGTGCTATGGCATTTACCACAACTAAGATAGTCAGGTTAAGATGACTACTTGTTGTACTTGGTATTTCTTTATCTAGCCCTATCTCTATGTATTGTGGCAATAAGATTGTTATTCAAATTGCTCACAACTCGGTCTTCCACAAGTATACACAACACATCGAAATTGACTATCGCTTGCTAGGCACCATCGCTCTCCCTTTTCTTCAGTCTACTAAGCAATTAGCAAATTCTTTTATGAAATCTCACACTATAGTGCACTTTCGTTTTCTTGGCAAACACTTGATATTCTCTACTACCACATCATGAGTTTGAGAAAAAAAGAGGGTGTGTGTGTGTGTTAGAGTATCTTAACATATTAGCATTTGAGATAATTTAGTAATTTCCTTTATCTTATGTTGCCCCACTATATAAGGGCTTCTATTGTGTATGTTAGGTTAATGTTGTCGTAACACAAACTAGTATGTCGTAATGATATTTCCTTTCTTTCTTCTCTCTTCTCCATGTTTGATCAAAGTTAACAACATCCGCATCAAGATATTCAATCGTGTAAATAGCCCTACCTTTCTGTTCGTCAGCTATTGATCATCTCTGAAGCATCCAAGCATAATTCGTCTAAACTTTGCACAAACCCACTGTTAGCAACATCAACGACTGTTTCATTGCTGCCACTTCCAACTAGTCTTGGTTTTCACAGTCTTATTTTCATCATTTCCCTCATGATTCTGTCTTCCATAGAAATAAAAAAAATCTAAGATGCAGAGATACAAATGTTAATACAATTAGACTGGATGCTGCCACAGCTTCAATGTGTAATAATACGTAGAAGTCATATCAGTAAATCTGAGTTCAGAATCTGAAGGCATTTCTTTTGATCCGCATAGATAGTAGAGAAAAAATAGTGTTATCAATTTTTTCTCACTCAATATTGAAGAATTAATGAATCAACAAAAAGAGAAACATAGATGAAAATTTCTAGAAAGCATCACATCAGTTCATCAATAACATGTGTTTCAGTTTCTGTTTTTTATTTTTTTTAACATACCATAGGAAACGTTCTTTGGTCCATGTTGCCATTTATCTTTTCAGAACTAAGAACTGGGTCATAAGACATCAGTTATGCGGAATATATTTGCTGGCATTTGGGGTGGGATTTAAAATGCAAATATTTGTTCTTGTTTCCATTGCAATTAAATGCGCAAATTTATCCCATTGTCTTGCTTGCTATAAAGATTATTATAACGATGTCAATGAACTAAAAACTTTGGTACCTTACGTAATATTTTACTGGATATGGTTTGAATCTTTTTAAATGTATGAACAATGGAATAAACTAATCTGAAATGTCTGTAAACCAAAATATTCTCATGTCATTAGTGAGTGGTATGTCAACACTTGTTTAGGCTCTTGCTAAAACCCCAAAACATAGGGGGTAAAAGGAGGAAGCGGTCATTGAATACAAAACTAGCAGCAATTGGATGTTTCTGTGTTCTTACTCAATTTAGGTTTCATAGTTGCGAGCAATAAAGAGTTATGATTCTTCTTTCTCTGGCTAGTGATTCATCTGGGCCAAGAGAAAAATAAAAGTTTATATATACTATATTTCAAAGTTAAATGTGGTTTTTCCATGAATTACATTGTTCTGGTTAGCAGATCAAGCAAGATCCATATGAACTCATATTGCATTTTGTTGACATAGTTCTTTTCTTGAAGGCTGTTACTGCAGATTATGCTAAAAGGATGGACCATCCATCAAATGTTGTTTCAATGATGGGATTCCTCAGACCTGTCTTTATGGATGAGGAATTATATTTACGAAGGCTCTTCAAGGGTGAAGATAGTTATGGCTACACCTCAGACTGGGAAGGTATCGGATGCTTTAATTATTAAATATTCACTTCGGAATTGAATCTTCCCTTTTTTTTTTATTTTTTCTTTTTTCCACTTCCATACCGGGAGCTATATCTTTCAGCATTTCTCACCAGACATAATGGAATCATCCAAGAAAACAGACATTTATGTAATTTGATTTAGGTGAATGTCTTTGTTAACCAAGAATGTCTAAGGATATTCTTGATGAACCAACAAGTTTATACGTATCTAGTAGGATTTCTTTGGAAACTAAGAATCCCTTTTGATGGATTTTGTAATTCAACTTCTTCTTGATGTGAAAATAGTGACAATCATTGACTTGGAATGGGAAAAATAGCAGATCTGCAAGTCCTAGTGAAGTGGCTTATTCCCACATTGCCTTGTCCTTTTGAAGATTTATCTTCTGATTGTTATTGCATGGTTCCAATTTAAATTGCTTTAGCGAAGCATATCATTCTTGCTATTAGTTTGAATTACTAGTGCTAAGTAATAGCCTTAGTTTTTTCACTGATCTCAATTTTTGTGTTTAGGTGGCGAGATTGTGAGCGTTACTTCCAAAGGTGATGGAAACCACACTAGCTCGACTGTCTACAGATTGGAAGTGACGAGAATAGAGCTGTTCTCTGTGTATGGTATTCAGGCATGTACCCTTGCAGTCACCATTTCGTGTTTAGGGGAGTTACTTTTAGATAGGTTTCAAAAATATGTTACGTGGGTGCAGTATCAGGACACAAACATGTTACAGTACATCATGACCAGCACGATCAGCTTTTTGACAGTATAAGATCATTCAATTGGAAAACCAATCTATACATGTGAAATCATCTATGTTCAACTATTTATACAATTGTATTTTATAGGCAAGTCCATCCATATTTTTAACTTATATACTCTTGTTTTATTATTTTCTGCGTGACTATATTTCTCTATATCTAACAGTATACGACTGTACTTACGTGTACATTGTGTTCTGTCTATGTTGACCATGAATGTGAGTTCATTTGAAAAATTCTAGGCATGGTCGGACCTTGACTAAATTCTCGGAGGAATGTCTTGTATGAAAGGTGCCAACATAAATACAGCTCCATTTAGGAGCCGTTAATATGCAGTAGATGTGAATTACGTAAGAAAGTATCTCATTTTAACAAGATGCAGCTCATGTTCTTTTATTTTACGAGACAATGTGGTCTTGTATGAGATATGACGTACTAAAAATGTAACTCTTCATATCTTCTTGTTTCTTCAGTCAGCAATTAGTTTGGAAGATTTTCAGGATGCCGAGCCTGATATTCTTGTAAACTCAACTCCAGCAATTGTAGATCGCTTCAGTGAGAAGGGAATAAGTTGTGATTTTGCACTTAGATCTCTCTGCAAAAAGAAGGGTCTCCCTGTCGAGGTAATAGTTGTTTGATGGTAGTATTTTTCTTACTTGTTATGCATTAAGTTTTACTATTCTTCTTTACTTGTTTATTGACCAATGGTGTTAGACAGTTTTAATAATCTTCAGCTCTAGATTAAACACTTAAAGAAAAGGTGCCCTTTTCTTATACAAAAGAAATGCTGAAGCCCAATTTTGTCATGCCTTAAAAGGACTTCTATAAAGTTATTGTAATTGAAAATATTTGAGGACCAGAAGAAGAAAGCCTTCTATCATTTTTCTTTTGACATAAACAGTATTATTGCAGATCAAAGTTGGACAAACTTCCTGGTGAATGTGGTGGAGAGATGGTGTTGTGGCCTTGAAAGGTCAGAGTGGCGTTTGCATGTAAAATCTAATACAAACCAATAATCAAGAGAGAGGGGAAAAGCAGAGATTATTATGGCAGATATCTTGTATGTTGGTAGTAATACAAACTCAAATATGAAGATAAAACTACCTAATAAGACTTGTGAAACAGTAAAATAAAAAGACATGGCACACTCCCCCTCAAGCTAGGTCTTTTATCTCAAATTCCTTGGCAAGATAAGCTTTAACTTTTGTATTCTCTGTATTGTACTCAGTTTTAACAGTATCACCAACATACAAAAATGAGGGCAATCACATTGCCTCCTGGTGAATGATGGATGAATAATGTATGATTGTCCTGATTCTATCTGTAGTCACTTTCCAGCATAACCCTCTCTAACATCTCAAATAATGCTCTAGGAGATTATTTTAACCAAGGTTATCAAAATGTGTATCGTCTCATTTTTCAAAAATAATGTATCGTACCTTGTAATACATTATTTACTATAAGATATGTTCAATTTTAATAATATATTACCATAGATATATAAATATATATATAGTGCTGTAAATAACAAATGTCATTTCAATTCACTTATCATTTCGTGGGATGTGTGTTTCCTCTAGAGATTGAAAGAGGGACAACCGTTCATGTTTGCAACAAAGATCGGAATATAGTTGGGGTTTCGTCCGTTTCACAAAGAAGAATAACAAGGAGAAACATAAGAGGATCAAATAACATATAGGAAATGGCGCTTCCCAGTTAGGTAAAAAAAGCAGTATGAAACAACGTCGTTTCACTATTTATAGTAAAAAATTAAAAAATACAATATTGGGTTTACCATTTTTTTATTTGCATCAAAACGCATCGTGCGTATCACATATTGTACTATATTGACAACTATGATTTTAACTGACATCATGTCTTCTTTTGCCTGAACATTACTATTATTATTTTTTTGTAGAGCTCTCGGCTCATTAGACATTATTTCCTTCCATTAGGAATACTAATAGGAACACATAGAAGACAAGTGGGAAACAAATGCATGATATGGTGAGAGATTATTATAGCACATAAAATTAGGGATAGGATGCTGACTGCAAGATGTGACTCCTTTACAAAGAGTACTGGGAACATTAGCTTAGGCTAAGGAAGATGGTTTTCAAGTTAGTTGACAGAAGGACTTATCCCATTGTCTCCTTTAGTAGAGTATCAATTTCTTAGGAGAATATCTCAGAACTTCAGTAGGCTTCTCCGACACTTCAGAAGAAGGAAAGGCATGAGCACTTGTGATGCCTCAATTCTTGGGGGTCTTTATTACTCGTTAAGCCTTATTAATTTACTTAAGGTCTTGGTCTTGGTTAACCAATTCCAACGAAATTCCGGTGGAGTCTCCTTTGTACGGAGAGTTTCACCCAAAACACAACTTGACTCAAGTTCATTTACAATGACCTTCCAAGGTCTAATATAAACACTTAAGCAGCTTCAAAGGTACAAATGTCCATTTATTAAAAGAATAAATACTATGTTTTCCAAGTTTACATGTCTTTACAAAAGATTATATATATATATATATATTGTATAAACAAAAAATACAAGGCTATCATAATTAATTACAATTAGGACTAAACGTATCTATGACATCAAGATATGAGCTCGGACTCCAGCTCTATCATCAAGTTGAGCCCAAGTGCAGGCCATCTGTAGGAGAAATGTTTTCTCAAGACGGGGTGAGCCAAGGCCCAGTAGGGTATCTCCTATGAAGATCACTTCCCAACCCAATGAAGCATATGATGTGGTACACATTCAAACATCTCAAGTATATATGTACATAAACGTGAATAAATGCTATCACTATGCCATGACATGAGATGGTGCTTCATGCATGCATACCAAACTCCGAACTCACCCTTGGGTTCCCATGACATGTGATGTCATGCTCTTGAACTGGACACTCCACGCCCACACCATTGAGTAATGCTCACCAAAGGACCTTTCATTTATTATCTTATCTTTATGGAATAGGTAATTTATGGACTTTCACCAATGGACTACCAAATCGTCAACGGATCTTGATGACATCCCACCTCCAGCTCCATATTGCACTTTTATGGACTCTTTACACCATCAGACAGTGTGTAGCCGAAAAATCCGNTTATGTCTTTTATATTTGTTAATTAAGTTAATGCCCCCTTCCCCCCCTTTTTTTTTACTTTTTTTCTTTTATTCTTTTATATTATTATTATTTACTAAACTGGTATATTAAAAATATACCGTGTTTGTTAAATAGTTGCAGTTAATTTTAATGGTATATACCTTATTTGTTAAATTTATAAAAATGTTTGCATGTAAAATATGTTTTAAAATAGTTGAAGTGATTTCCGCCTCGTGTCGTGTCAAGCCTTTTTTTTTCCTCCAACTTAATGTTATTTTGTATAAATGTATGTTAACCCAATAAACATACTCAATTAATTAATTATTAAGTTTATCTTTATAAATAAATAGATTGTATTTATATTTTCATGCGTTTCCATATTTTTTCTCCATTTCTTTGAAAATGGTGAGCCGAATTGAGAAGAAGATGAGAGATTTTTTTATGGGAGCGTTGTGGAGAAGAGAAGAAAGACCACTTGGTAAGGCTGGATTTGGTGACCTGATCCAAAACTAAGGGTGGTCTTGCATTAGGAAATTTGAAGGTTAGAAAATCTTCATTACTTACCAAATGGTTATGGAGATTCCCCATTGAATTCAATAGTTTACGTCATTTCGTGATTAAAAGTAAATATGAGATTGAAGATAACAGGTGAGATACCAAAAGTGATTGAGAGATGGTGTTCTTGATGTCCTTGAAAATTCATTTCTCAAGGGTTATATTGTTTCATAAACATGTCTAAGTATGTTGGTGAGCATTCGTTTTGGGATGATAATTGGGGTGGTGTTTCTTCTTTTGCTTCCATGTGTCCTCACTTATATCATTTGCCTAAAAATCCCAATTCGTCTATTTTTACCATGATCTTATCTGTTTCTTCCCCGAATTGCTGGAACTTTGATTTCTTTAGGAACTTGAACAATAGAGAAGTTGTTAGGATGTCTTCCCTTTTGGGCATTCTTGATAATATTGTATTGAATCATTTATCTTTTTTGGGCTAGCTCATGATCTGAACGAGTCGCACATTTGGATCGTAGGAAATGGACTATTTCTTCTTCGGGGGTGTTCTCTTGTAAGTCTTTTTTTGAGACTTTGATTGATAAGCCTAGTTTCCCAATCTTCCCAAGCTCAATCATGATTTTGAAGTCTAAGGCTCCATTAAAGGTACAAGTTTTTGCTTGGTTACTTGCACACAAGAAACTCAATACCAATGACTTGCTCCTAAAAGGAAGATCATTTTATTGCTTACTATCTCAATGGTATATTCTTTGCAAGACAACTGAGGAAAGTATGGATCACTTATTCTTACATTGCTCCTTTGTTTTAAAATTGTGGAACACATTGTTGAGTTTAGTAAGGTATCTCTTGGGTGATTCTTAGAGATTTATTTTTGTTCTTTACACATCACTTAATAGGGCTTTGGTTCTAGCTATAAAGCTAAGATTTTATAGAATTGTGTAGTTTTGGCTTTGTTATATAATGGTTTGGTTGGAAAGAAAAATAAAGATTTTCGATGATAGAGAAAGTACTTGGGAAGACTTGTGGTACAGAGTTACACCTATGGCATCTCTTTCGGCTTCCACGATTTTGAAGGAATTCCATTATTATTGATAAAGGATTTTCGGTGATGTTTGTTGAGAGTTCAAGCTTATTTCCTGTTATGTTTTTTACATTTTTGTTTGTAACCTTTTCTTTTCTTTTCTTTTTCAATCTTTATTTTTTTCCTGGAGAGGACTCCTTAGCCTCTCATGTAACCTTATCTCCATCTTTATTTTTAATAATATTCTCAAATTCCCTATCCAAAAAAAAAAACGACAAATTCTTACTGTCTCATGCTTCTGTTTTCTTTTTTGATATTCACCCATTAATTCCATTCTTTCGTAATCTCTGCAAAAATCTTATTGCCCTACGAAAATTGGTATTAGAGCTCAATTTCTATCAATTATCGTTGCCCATTAAAGCCTTTTTTGTTTTTGCCGTCTTACTGCAATCAATATCTCACTTGACAGGTCATCTTATCCTTTGACTTTATTTCTGTTGTTACATTTGTTAGAGTATTCTAACATATTAGCATTAGGGGCAATTTAGTTGTTTACTTTATCTTATGTTGCCCCATTATATGAGGGCTTCTATTGTGTATCTTAGGTTAATGTTGTTGTAACATAGATTAGTGTGTCACGATGATATTTTCTTTCTTCTCTCTTCTCTATGTCTAATCAAAGTTAACATGGTATTAGAACAATGTTATGATCCCTTCCTCCTTGTCTATGGAACACAAATTTTAACTAGGCTAGTGATGTAGATCGCAAGTCTACCCCTGGTTTCTGTCTTTTTCTTGGTGATTCTCTCATTTCTTAGAAAAACAAGAACCAAACTGTTTTTGCTCGTTCTTCGGCTGAAGCTGAGGACTGTGCTATGGCATTTACCACAACTAAGATAGTCAGGTTAAGATGACTACTTGTTGTACTTGGTATTTCTTTATCTAGCCCTATCTCTATGTATTGTGGCAATAAGATTGTTATTCAAATTGCTCACAACTCGGTCTTCCACAAGTATACACAACACATCGAAATTGACTATCGCTTGCTAGGCACCATCGCTCTCCCTTTTCTTCAGTCTACTAAGCAATTAGCAAATTCTTTTATGAAATCTCACACTATAGTGCACTTTCGTTTTCTTGGCAAACACTTGATATTCTCTACTACCACATCATGAGTTTGAGAAAAAAAGAGGGTGTGTGTGTGTGTTAGAGTATCTTAACATATTAGCATTTGAGATAATTTAGTAATTTCCTTTATCTTATGTTGCCCCACTATATAAGGGCTTCTATTGTGTATGTTAGGTTAATGTTGTCGTAACACAAACTAGTATGTCGTAATGATATTTCCTTTCTTTCTTCTCTCTTCTCCATGTTTGATCAAAGTTAACAACATCCGCATCAAGATATTCAATCGTGTAAATAGCCCTACCTTTCTGTTCGTCAGCTATTGATCATCTCTGAAGCATCCAAGCATAATTCGTCTAAACTTTGCACAAACCCACTGTTAGCAACATCAACGACTGTTTCATTGCTGCCACTTCCAACTAGTCTTGGTTTTCACAGTCTTATTTTCATCATTTCCCTCATGATTCTGTCTTCCACAGAAATAAAAAAAATCTAAGATGCAGAGATACAAATGTTAATACAATTAGACTGGATGCTGCCACAGCTTCAATGTGTAATAATACGTAGAAGTCATATCAGTAAATCTGAGTTCAGAATCTGAAGGCATTTCTTTTGATCCGCATAGATAGTAGAGAAAAAATAGTGTTATCAATTTTTTCTCACTCAATATTGAAGAATTAATGAATCAACAAAAAGAGAAACATAGATGAAAATTTCTGGAAAGCATCACATCAGTTCATCAATAACATGTGTTTCAGTTTCTGTTTTTTATTTTTTTTAACATACCATAGGAAACGTTCTTTGGTCCATGTTGCCATTTATCTTTTCAGAACTAAGAACTGGGTCATAAGACATCAGTTATGCGGAATATATTTGCTGGCATTTGGGGTGGGATTTAAAATGCAAATATTTGTTCTTGTTTCCATTGCAATTAAATGCGCAAATTTATCCCATTGTCTTGCTTGCTATAAAGATTATTATAACGATGTCAATGAACTAAAAACTTTGGTACCTTACGTAATATTTTACTGGATATGGTTTGAATCTTTTTAAATGTATGAACAATGGAATAAACTAATCTGAAATGTCTGTAAACCAAAATATTCTCATGTCATTAGTGAGTGGTATGTCAACACTTGTTTAGGCTCTTGCTAAAACCCCAAAACATAGGGGGTAAAAGGAGGAAGCGGTCATTGAATACAAAACTAGCAGCAATTGGATGTTTCTGTGTTCTTACTCAATTTAGGTTTCATAGTTGCGAGCAATAAAGAGTTATGATTCTTCTTTCTCTGGCTAGTGATTCATCTGGGCCAAGAGAAAAATAAAAGTTTATATATACTATATTTCAAAGTTAAATGTGGTTTTTCCATGAATTACATTGTTCTGGTTAGCAGATCAAGCAAGATCCATATGAACTCATATTGCATTTTGTTGACATAGTTCTTTTCTTGAAGGCTGTTACTGCAGATTATGCTAAAAGGATGGACCATCCATCAAATGTTGTTTCAATGATGGGATTCCTCAGACCTGTCTTTATGGATGAGGAATTATATTTACGAAGGCTCTTCAAGGGTGAAGATAGTTATGGCTACACCTCAGACTGGGAAGGTATCGGATGCTTTAATTATTAAATATTCACTTCGGAATTGAATCTTCCCTTTTTTTTTTATTTTTTCTTTTTTCCACTTCCATACCGGGAGCTATATCTTTCAGCATTTCTCACCAGACATAATGGAATCATCCAAGAAAACAGACATTTATGTAATTTGATTTAGGTGAATGTCTTTGTTAACCAAGAATGTCTAAGGATATTCTTGATGAACCAACAAGTTTATACGTATCTAGTAGGATTTCTTTGGAAACTAAGAATCCCTTTTGATGGATTTTGTAATTCAACTTCTTCTTGATGTGAAAATAGTGAAAATCATTGACTTGGAATGGGAAAAATAGCAGATCTGCAAGTCCTAGTGAAGTGGCTTATTCCCACATTGCCTTGTCCTTTTGAAGATTTATCTTCTGATTGTTATTGCATGGTTCCAATTTAAATTGCTTTAGCGAAGCATATCATTCTTGCTATTAGTTTGAATTACTAGTGCTAAGTAATAGCCTTAGTTTTTTCACTGATCTCAATTTTTGTGTTTAGGTGGCGAGATTGTGAGCGTTACTTCCAAAGGTGATGGAAACCACACTAGCTCGACTGTCTACAGATTGGAAGTGACGAGAATAGAGCTGTTCTCTGTGTATGGTATTCAGGCATGTACCCTTGCAGTCACCATTTCGTGTTTAGGGGAGTTACTTTTAGATAGGTTTCAAAAATATGTTACGTGGGTGCAGTATCAGGACACAAACATGTTACAGTACATCATGACCAGCACGATCAGCTTTTTGACAGTATAAGATCATTCAATTGGAAAACCAATCTATACATGTGAAATCATCTATGTTCAACTATTTATACAATTGTATTTTATAGGCAAGTCCATCCATATTTTTAACTTATATACTCTTGTTTTATTATTTTCTGCGTGACTATATTTCTCTATATCTAACAGTATACGACTGTACTTACGTGTACATTGTGTTCTGTCTATGTTGACCATGAATGTGAGTTCATTTGAAAAATTCTAGGCATGGTCGGACCTTGACTAAATTCTCGGAGGAATGTCTTGTATGAAAGGTGCCAACATAAATACAGCTCCATTTAGGAGCCGTTAATATGCAGTAGATGTGAATTACGTAAGAAAGTATCTCATTTTAACAAGATGCAGCTCATGTTCTTTTATTTTACGAGACAATGTGGTCTTGTATGAGATATGACGTACTAAAAATGTAACTCTTCATATCTTCTTGTTTCTTCAGTCAGCAATTAGTTTGGAAGATTTTCAGGATGCCGAGCCTGATATTCTTGTAAACTCAACTCCAGCAATTGTAGATCGCTTCAGTGAGAAGGGAATAAGTTGTGATTTTGCACTTAGATCTCTCTGCAAAAAGAAGGGTCTCCCTGTCGAGGTAATAGTTGTTTGATGGTAGTATTTTTCTTACTTGTTATGCATTAAGTTTTACTATTCTTCTTTACTTGTTTATTGACCAATGGTGTTAGACAGTTTTAATAATCTTCAGCTCTAGATTAAACACTTAAAGAAAAGGTGCCCTTTTCTTATACAAAAGAAATGCTGAAGCCCAATTTTGTCATGCCTTAAAAGGACTTCTATAAAGTTATTGTAATTGAAAATATTTGAGGACCAGAAGAAGAAAGCCTTCTATCATTTTTCTTTTGACATAAACAGTATTATTGCAGATCAAAGTTGGACAAACTTCCTGGTGAATGTGGTGGAGAGATGGTGTTGTGGCCTTGAAAGGTCAGAGTGGCGTTTGCATGTAAAATCTAATACAAACCAATAATCAAGAGAGAGGGGAAAAGCAGAGATTATTATGGCAGATATCTTGTATGTTGGTAGTAATACAAACTCAAATATGAAGATAAAACTACCTAATAAGACTTGTGAAACAGTAAAATAAAAAGACATGCCACACTCCCCCTCAAGCTAGGTCTTTTATCTCAAATTCCTTGGCAAGATAAGCTTTAACTTTTGTATTCTCTGTATTGTACTCAGTTTTAACAGTATCACCAACATACAAAAATGAGGGCAATCACATTGCCTCCTGGTGAATGATGGATGAATAATGTATGATTGTCCTGATTCTATCTGTAGTCACTTTCCAGCATAACCCTCTCTAACATCTCAAATCATGCTCTAGGAGATTATTTTAACCAAGGTTATCAAAATGTGTATCGTCTCATTTTTCAAAAATAATGTATCGTACCTTGTAATACATTATTTACTATAAGATATGTTCAATTTTAATAATATATTACCATAGATATATAAATATATATATAGTGCTGTAAATAACAAATGTCATTTCAATTCACTTATCATTTCGTGGGATGTGTGTTTCCTCTAGAGATTGAAAGAGGGACAACCGTTCATGTTTGCAACAAAGATCGGAATATAGTTGGGGTTTCGTCCGTTTCACAAAGAAGAATAACAAGGAGAAACATAAGAGGATCAAATAACATATAGGAAATGGCGCTTCCCAGTTAGGTAAAAAAAGCAGTATGAAACAACGTCGTTTCACTATTTATAGTAAAAAATTAAAAAATACAATATTGGGTTTACCATTTTTTTATTTGCATCAAAACGCATCGTGCGTATCACATATTGTACTATATTGACAACTATGATTTTAACTGACATCATGTCTTCTTTTGCCTGAACATTACTATTATTATTTTTTTGTAGAGCTCTCGGCTCATTAGACATTATTTCCTTCCATTAGGAATACTAATAGGAACACATAGAAGACAAGTGGGAAACAAATGCATGATATGGTGAGAGATTATTATAGCACATAAAATTAGGGATAGGATGCTGACTGCAAGATGTGACTCCTTTACAAAGAGTACTGGGAACATTAGCTTAGGCTAAGGAAGATGGTTTTCAAGTTAGTTGACAGAAGGACTTATCCCATTGTCTCCTTTAGTAGAGTATCAATTTCTTAGGAGAATATCTCAGAACTTCAGTAGGCTTCTCCGACACTTCAGAAGAAGGAAAGGCATGAGCACTTGTGATGCCTCAATTCTTGGGGGTCTTTATTACTCGTTAAGCCTTATTAATTTACTTAAGGTCTTGGTCTTGGTTAACCAATTCCAACGAAATTCCGGTGGAGTCTCCTTTGTACGGAGAGTTTCACCCAAAACACAACTTGACTCAAGTTCATTTACAATGACCTTCCAAGGTCTAATATAAACACTTAAGCAGCTTCAAAGGTACAAATGTCCATTTATTAAAAGAATAAATACTATGTTTTCCAAGTTTACATGTCTTTACAAAAGATTATATATATATATATATATTGTATAAACAAAAAATACAAGGCTATCATAATTAATTACAATTAGGACTAAACGTATCTATGACATCAAGATATGAGCTCGGACTCCAGCTCTATCATCAAGTTGAGCCCAAGTGCAGGCCATCTGTAGGAGAAATGTTTTCTCAAGACGGGGTGAGCCAAGGCCCAGTAGGGTATCTCCTATGAAGATCACTTCCCAACCCAATGAAGCATATGATGTGGTACACATTCAAACATCTCAAGTATATATGTACATAAACGTGAATAAATGCTATCACTATGCCATGACATGAGATGGTGCTTCATGCATGCATACCAAACTCCGAACTCACCCTTGGGTTCCCATGACATGTGATGTCATGCTCTTGAACTGGACACTCCACGCCCACACCATTGAGTTATGCTCACCAAAGGACCTTTCATTTATTATCTTATCTTTATGGAATAGGTAATTTATGGACTTTCACCAATGGACTACCAAATCGTCAACGGATCTTGATGACATCCCACCTCCAGCTCCATATTGCACTTTTATGGACTCTTTACACCATCAGACAGTGTGTAGCCGAAAAATCCGGTCCTGTATCCGATGGAGAATTTAGCTCTTCTTGCTATATCCTCAACACATTATCATATGCAAAATCTCATGACACTCAATTAGACCTTAGTCCAATATTTTCAAGCCCCATCCAACTCACCTATATGGNCGGTCCTGTATCCGATGGAGAATTTAGCTCTTCTTGCTATATCCTCAACACATTATCATAAGCAAAATCTCATAACACTCAATTAGACCTTAGTCCAATATTTTCAAGCCCCATCCAACTCACCTATATGGTAAATGGTCAACCCATGCACAAACACTACCATGCCCATGCCTTGTGGATGTGGTGTTTAACTCGTGCATATATATTTCTCATTTTTAGTATTTCATCAAAGATGTGATATACATCAATTAACCCACATATCATACTTGTCCACACTACAGCATTTCATCAAACATGTAGGGTGTATAGATTCATACATATAACATACATGTCATAATCAACTTAATAACATGCTCATTTACCCAATACTACAAGTATTAGCATAACATGTTCATCAATCCATAAGAGAACCCACTAGTTACACTAGTCATATGCAAATTATACAATTAACATACACATAATTATACCCATAATATATTCATGCATTAAATTGGAATTAGTCCTAGATAGAAGGGAACTCCACCTCTTAAAAGCAAGTGGTGGTGAAGAAATAGCTTGAAAACCCAACAAAGTCTTCTTCAAGTTCTAGCCAAAATCCTTGACCCAAAAGTTGGTGAAAACTAGTCGATGTTGGTGTGAATGTGTAGCCCTTGTTGCATAGAGCAACTTTAATTTTTGATTGATGAAGATCCAATGATTGGATTTTGAGATATTTGTAGAAGAAGAGAAGTTGAAAAACCTCAATTTTTCTCTTTCTGTCTCTCTACCGAAATTTGCAAGAGAAATAGGGTAGTGGAAGACAAGTCTTCCACTCTTTGCACTTTATATACTAGGTGTAGAACTTGCCACATGTCATCTTTTAATTGGTTGGAAGCCCTAGAGAGTCAATCACATTTCAATACGTGTCGTGTTTGGATAATGTTAGATGAGTAGCTACTTTAATTATATTGTGGGTCCCGCGAATGAAAACTCAGTTGCTGGAATTTTAATTGCGTATCATCCGATCGCATATTTTACCACGTAACACGTAAAAATTTCAACTGACTCGAAATTTAAGAAATTTGTACGTCCCAACTTGTTTCCATTAGATGAGTTTAACGGTAAGGTTTGTTTCATCATCCGAGTTATATAAAATTTTAGATTTTTAACCTTGCTTAAACGGCTTAATTATCGTATTATCCATTTAATCGATTTATTAAATTTTTCGGGTTTTACAGCACTTGGAGCAAATTTGGGAAGACCTATTTATACGTGTGTTCCTTTTTTAAAGAGAAGTTAGAGATAATTCCTGTATTGAAAGAAAGTCGCATTCATGGTCACAAACCTTTTCTTTGAAGGAGGGTGGTAACACTTGGAACCTCGATTCGATTATGAGAGTATCACTAAAAAATACATTGAAGTGCCCTAGGATTAAGTTTTCTTCTAGAAGAATCAAGAACATGGATATAGCAAATACATACCAAAACACAAAGGGAATAGTAAAAAGAGAAAATGCTGACGTTAGTAATGTTCGAATAGATGCCTGCAAATTCGGGATCTTGTATCCCACGTCGAATGATGGGACCACCCAAGATTGATTTACATACCTGAGGGCCCAATCCATTCATTGCCGGTTAGTTTGGAGTTGGATGCTCTAACATGGTATCAGAGTTAGTTTACAAACCCAAGGTTGGTTTACTTACCCATTTAAATCTCCCGACGTGCATTGTAATTGGTTTGCATACTAACCCTACGTGCTAGCCCAAATATAACATTAGAGAGGATGTAAAAGAGATTTTATATCCGACACCAATGATTAGGATCACCCAAAGTTAGTTTATGTACTTGAGAGGTCACTCCAATTGTTGACAATTTTTAGTTGGATGCTGTAACATTCAATACTAAAGATGACTTCCAATTTATAAGGAATGTGGCAATAAGAAGAGCATCATCCCCATTATGATTCATGGAAATTTGTGAAAATATTAAGGATCTGGTAACCTTAAGAAGATGTCGTTTGTTTTTCTCTAAACAATCCTATTTTGTTGGTGCTTGCCAGCCNAATGTGGCAATAAGAAGAGCATCATCCCACTATGATTCATGGAAATTTGTGAAAATATTAAGGATCTGGTAACCTCAAGAAGATGTCGTTTGTTTTTCTCTAAACAATCCTATTTTGTTGGTGCTTGCCAGCCCAAGTTCTTTGATAAAGCATGACATGTTTACAATGAAAAAGCACAAGACACCATTAAAGATACTAAACCCCATTGTCAAAGTGTTTTAGCTGACATTATTTTGTGCAACGGCTTGGAAAAAAAAAAATTCATGTACATCAAATTGAGTTGACATCATTTTGTGCAACATTTTGTAACCAAAAAAAAAAATTCACTTGTGCTGTAACAACTGAGTTTTTTTTTTTTTTTTGACTTCCGAAAAAAAAAAAATCTGAGTTGTCATGGAAAAATCATTTATTAAACTAACAATCCAATAGAATCTATTATGTTATCGTTTAGTTTTAGGGTGTTTTAATACTTGGTGTTTATGTATATAAGCTGGGAAATAGTTGGGTGACTTAACACATTATCCTTCAACTTAATCTTGTCTCTCCTTTTCATATTCTCTTATCCAAGTTTCTTTCTTTTTCTTTAAGCACTAAAACTTCACAATCTAATTGAATCCTCATAAAGAAGCAACACAAGTGTGTGCAACAGCACAAGGTTTGGAACTTCCATTGATACTAGAAAGAAATGACACATGATGATCTTAATGAAATTCACATGTTTCAGGCTGAAACCTAGAGACAAAAGTTCTACTAAACGAAGAATGAAAAATGGGCTTTAACAAATGAATTGATGAGTGCCCTAACCTTTACTTGAGACAAATGATGGAGAGCCACCACACATCTTTAATTTTGCACCTGCTTAAACAAGTATGGTAATGGGAAGATATAGCTGAACAAGTAGTCATATGATCACATTCCTCCCAAGCCGATTATTCAAGGATAGTGAAGAGTATTAGTTGAACCGAAAAGAAAACGCCATGTTACCTTAATGAGCATGATTGTGAAAATTCCTGCCTGAATGAAGTCATCTACCTCTAGGTCAACCGTGATCAGTGAATCTTCAACATGTCTCTCAAGTGTGTCACATCTTGTTATAAAAGTCATAAAAAAAAACTTTCCTTACCACTATATCTACTTTTATGATCCACTTTGTTGCCTTATCGGGAAGTTGTAATCCGTAAAAATCTCTCCTGTGTGACAGATTGCATTGTCAGACCCCTTGTATATTCCTCACTCTAAACATGTGGATACACAAATGCAAGGGAAAGGAGAGGCTCTTTGTCCAAAATCTAAATGTGGACCTAATCATACTCAGAATTAAGCCCAGTTAAGAACTCAAAGAGATGCTCCACTCACCTATCTGATGCACCTTCAAACCATTTGTAGAACGCACAACTTGAAAATTTTGATAGTGATCTAATACCGGCCAGAGACCATGAAGTATGTGAAAGTAAGCACCTGCAAGCATATCACCCTGTATAGTGTTATGGATGTGGTGCCCCAATCCACAAATTTGAGTTATGCTTCTCATCTGAGTGGTGCTTTGTGATTGCATTGCTAATTTATTTTGCAGTTCACCCCCCAAAAAAGTAGTAATTGTTAGTGTTGGGGTCTGATAAAATGTAACAGTCAAAACCCCATTGTCGAATTTTTCGCTTCTCATCACCCTAACAAAGGATCATCCTCGTGTTTATTTGATCTTTTCATTGAGGTATCCCATCTTTCCTCAACTCTTAATAAAGAATATTGCAGATTGAGACTGGGCCAGAGAATTACGCCCGTTTGATTTCACGGTGGCCATTTTTATTTATGTATTCTTATTTGAGGCTTTTAGGGTTCCAATCTGACTTACTACTACATTTGGTGGTGTTGAATGACCTAACTTGATTTTGACGTACAGGAACACTCTCAAGCACCTCAACATGCTCCAAACATGCCAAATTAGGCAAGAAATACTGGACATCATTTATTACATTATTTTGGAGGGGAATGCTAACAAGTAGCCTCTAAGTGCCCAAAAATATACAATAATTGAAAAGATATACCAAACAATCTCGGACCAACTTCAAATTTGTAGGTGTAATATGCTCTCGAAGTTGACCATGCGGGTAATATACATATAAATTCTCTCTTACGTACGAAGACTGAGAAACGCTAACCATACTCTAAACAGTAATGATGTGCTTCTAAGAAGAAGACCTTTCCTTTGCATTTCTCCGCAGTGGTGTGTGATGTGTAGATGTGCTTGTGCAAGCATCGACTCTTTTTGCATTGCCCTACTTTGTTTATACGGTGCAAATTATTTCAACTAGTGGGTTGAGTTGGGTGATTCTGGGACATTCTCCTCTATGTTTGTGGAGGGATTTGCTAGATTTAGAAAGCATGAAAGGGTGTTGACCCTGTGAAATTGTGCAATTTTAGCCATTATTTGGGTGATTTGGTTGGAGAGAATAATAAAATATTTGAGGATAGAGATGAGTGGAAGGAATGATTATGGGATAGAATTTACTTCTTGGATTGGATGTGGACCTCAACATCTAAGGAATTTCGTGGCATTCCACTCTTTAGTATTTTGGCGATCAGAGATAGTTTTAATGGCAATGAACAATATGCAAGTACAATGGTGTTGTTGCTATCCATAGTGCTGTTGTGTTGGTTGATTTTTTTTTTTTTTTTGTGTCTTTGGGGGAGGTGGGTAGTTTGGGGTGGGAGATGGTACGCTTACAAACCTATTCACTCAACTTATCTTTGTTGACTGCACTTACGCACGCCTAGACACAAAGTAGTTCAACGATAACATCTGCTCATTCTTTGGGAAGCTCTGTTATAGGTGACATCCATGAGCAAGAAAACCACTCTCCTTGTTTTTTTCTTTTCTTTCCCCCCCGGCCCGCCCCCCACCCCCGGAAAAGAAAAATAAAAAATAAAAAATACAGATGCAACCAGGAATATAAAAATGTAGGAACCTCTTTATGTCTGGCAAGAATATAGCCATTAATAAGAAAACATTGATGGCCAACAAAACCTCTTTAGTTTTGGGATATATGCTGATATGCATATATATTCAGATTTTTCGGCATACATGTGTTATCTGTTTTTGTGGACTCAATTCTTTTGTGGTGACAGTTTCAAATCTCTCAGTCTGATCTTGTAGGGGGCAATTTTGATTGGGGTTGACAGTCTTGGCATGGACGTTAGAGTTTTCTCTGGGATAGAAGTACGGACCCATCGTTTTCCCTTCAAAGTCCGGGTAAGCAGTACAGATTGCTTGTCTGACCTTTAAGATTCAATACTATCCGTGTGGCTAAATTGCTTGACACCAGCATAACTGAATGTTTTCCTGAGGAAACAACTTAGTTCTTGAATACAATCAGTTTACAGCATCTAATTATGTTTGTAAAGATTATCAGAAAACCATGTGGCAAGGATCATGACTAGAAGCTGTGGGGCCTAATTTAACCTATATTCAGCAATAGGATTATCCTTGCCCAAAATTAACATGAGTACTGTTATGGCTCTTTAATCCACATAGTGCTCATCTAGAAGGTGTATGGTCTGGTATCAAAATTTATACTGCAACCAGGTGAATTATACTAATTAGGGTACTTGCTCAAATATTGACTTGTAGACCAATATAATTGGGGTAATCTTTTTTCATTTTCATTTTTCCAGTTTTTTTGTGAAGAATTGGTGCTTTCTGCTACTGCATCTCTGATAATTGTGCAAAAATTGGTCCATAATGCAAAATGATGAACAGAAACAATATACGTGCTTTTAAAAACAAACAATGTGAACATTCTCAAGGATGTCCAAACTGGTGTTGGCACTTGTTGACATGCGCTGTGTTTCTATTATCAATACAATCCATTTGGATAATAACTTTTAACAATTCAAAGCCGTAAATTGTACTGACAGTCTCTGTATGTGTTTGTATCTGCAGGCAACGTCCGAGAGGGCTGCTGAGAAGCAGATCCAGCAACTCTTGTTTCCACAGTCTCGCCGAAAAAAAATCAGGACTCAAGGTGACCGAGTTTGGGACGTAGATTCGTTTTGAATCTCCCGTCTCTGTTTTTATTGATGCCAACATTACTAAAATAAATTTCAGGTCTAAGTTTTTTCAATAATTCCACTCAAGAGTTTATAGTTTCTTCTCTTCTTTTCAGTTGGTCACAGGTTGTGCTGTGTGTTGTAGGAGTAAGAGCATAAGGTTCTTTGAATAATCCAACTGTCAAATTTCAATATGAATGATCCTAAAACATTGTTGATTTAGCTAATATCTTACAAATCTGTGAGCATGATTGATGTACATCTTTATACATGGTATGGCTGATCTGATATTGATATGAAAGGCCATTACCCAATTATTCATTTATCAGAAGGGTTCTGCTCATTGATTATAAGGACTAATAGTGACTTAAGGACTCTGCACAACAGTTCAGGGCTACTCTTTTAATTCATTTTCCTGGGGTGGTTATTCAAAGTCTTTAGAATTATTTGATTATACCTCTAATCCTGATCCCCAAAAAAATAAAGAAAAATAAAAGGAATTAAGAAACTCTTTCTTGGATATAATAGTCAAAGTCCAGATCAAAGGAAGAAAAGAGAAAACTCTTTCTTTTTTGTTTTAGCAGGTACTAGTAGGCATGGCAATGGAGTAAATTTTAATCCAAATTTGATCCGAATTCGAGTTCATTTAACAGGATATGGCTTAATATTTTAATATAGGGTTAATCTTATTTTACACCCCGAAAGATCGTTCAAAGAATAAAAATCTCAATTTGCTCCCTTAAAGATAGAAATTTGTATTAATATGTACCCCCAAAGATTAAAAATCTGAATTTACACCCTCAAAGATAGAAATTTATATCAATGTACACCTCAAAGATAAAAAATCTCAATTTGCACTCTCAAATATAAAAATTTGTATCATTGTGTACCTAAAACTAAATTGATAAATTATACTTAGATCCCCTCATGCTTGTCACTTAATCATTTGGATATCTTTACATTTAGAATATTACTCCTATATCTCATGACATTTATGCACGTATAACATGTAACTCATTTTCATTGATATCTGTTAATATAACCGTTAAAAAATATAATTTTATCCTAATAAAAAATTATAATTTCATATTACCCTTATTTTATGGGTCCAATATACTCTAAAGTTCNTTGTCACTTAATCATTTGGATATCTTTACATTTAGAATATTACTCTTATATCTCATGACATTTATGCACGTATAACATGTAACTCATTTTCATTGATATCTGTTAATATAACCGTTAAAAAATATAATTTTATCCTAATAAAAAATTATAATTTCATATTACCCTTATTTTATGGGTCCAATATACTCTAAAGTTCNTGCAACAGCACAAGGTTTGGAACTTCCATTGATACTAGAAAGAAATGACACATGATGATCTTAATGAAATTCACATGTTTCAGGCTGAAACCTAGAGACAAAAGTTCTACTAAACGAAGAATGAAAAATGGGCTTTAACAAATGAATTGATGAGTGCCNACTTGATTTTGAACTTTAGAGTATATCGAATCCACAAAATATAGGGAAATATGAAATTATAATTTTTTATTAGGATAAAATCATATTTTTTAACGATTANAAATGAATTGATGAGTGCCCTAACCTTTACTTGAGACAAATGATGGAGAGCCACCACACATCTTTAATTTTGCACCTGCTTAAACAAGTATGGTAATGGGAAGATATAGCTGAACAAGTAGTCATATGATCACATTCCTCCCAAGCCGATTATTCAAGGATAGTGAAGAGTATTAGTTGAACCGAAAAGAAAACGCCATGTTACCTTAATGAGCATGATTATGAAAATTCCTGCCTGAATGAAGTCATCTACCTCTAGGTCAACCGTGATCAGTGAATCTTCAACATGTCTCTCAAGTGTGTCACATCTTGTTATAAAAGTCATAAAAAAAAACTTTCCTTACCACTATATCTACTTTTATGATCCACTTTGTTGCCTTATCGGGAAGTTGTAATCCGTAAAAATCTCTCCTGTGTGACAGATTGCATTGTCAGACCCCTTGTATATTCCTCACTCTAAACATGTGGATACACAAATGCAAGGGAAAGGAGAGGCTCTTTGTCCAAAATCTAAATGTGGACCTAATCATACTCAGAATTAAGCCCAGTTAAGAACTCAAAGAGATGCTCCACTCACCTATCTGATGCACCTTCAAACCATTTGTAGAACGCACAACTTGAAAATTTTGATAGTGATCTAATACCGGCCAGAGACCATGAAGTATGTGAAAGTAAGCACCTGCAAGCATATCACCCTGTATAGTGTTATGGATGTGGTGCCCCAATCCACAAATTTGAGTTATGCTTCTCATCTGAGTGGTGCTTTGTGATTGCATTGCTAATTTATTTTGCAGTTCACCCCCCAAAAAAGTAGTAATTGTTAGTTTTGGGGTCTGATAAAATGTAACAGTCAAAACCCCATTGTCGAATTTTTCGCTTCTCATCACCCTAACAAAGGATCATCCTCGTGTTTATTTGATCTTTTCATTGAGGTATCCCATCTTTCCTCAACTCTTAATAAAGAATATTGCAGATTGAGACTGGGCCAGAGAATTACGCCCGTTTGATTTCACGGTGGCCATTTTTATTTTTGTATTCTTATTTGAGGCTTTTAGGGTTCCAATCTGACTTACTACTACATTTGGTGGTGTTGAATGACCTAACTTGATTTTGACGTACAGGAACACTCTCAAGCACCTCAACATGCTCCAAACATGCCAAATTAGGCAAGAAATACTGGACATCATTTATTACATTATTTTGGAGGGGAATGCTAACAAGTAGCCTCTAAGTGCCCAAAAATATACAATAATTGAAAAGATATACCAAACAATCTCGGACCAACTTCAAATTTGTAGGTGTAATATGCTCTCGAAGTTGACCATGCGGGTAATATACATATAAATTCTCTCTTACGTACGAAGACTGAGAAACGCTAACCATACTCTAAACAGTAATGATGTGCTTCTAAGAAGAAGACCTTTCCTTTGCATTTCTCCGCAGTGGTGTGTGATGTGTAGATGTGCTTGTGCAAGCATCGACTCTTTTTGCATTGCCCTACTTTGTTTATACGGTGCAAATTATTTCAACTAGTGGGTTGAGTTGGGTGATTCTGGGACATTCTCCTCTATGTTTGTGGAGGGATTTGCTAGATTTAGAAAGCATGAAAGGGTGTTGACCCTGTGAAATTGTGCAATTTTAGCCATTATTTGGGTGATTTGGTTGGAGAGAATAATAAAATATTTGAGGATAGAGATGAGTGGAAGGAATGATTATGGGATAGAATTTACTTCTTGGATTGGATGTGGACCTCAACATCTAAGGAATTTCGTGGCATTCCACTCTTTAGTATTTTGGCGATCAGAGATAGTTTTAATGGCAATGAACAATATGCAAGTACAATGGTGTTGTTGCTATCCATAGTGCTGTTGTGTTGGTTGATTTTTTTTTTTTTT